AGATTTTGTATTTCCATAAGTGGGGTAAAACTATGGAATAATTTAAGTGTAGACATAAAAAATAGTACTAGAATTGATGAGTTTAAACATAAATATAAAGGTATGTGTCAATCAAGATATATGCAAGAACAGGTTTAATGATTAATTAGATGGAACATTGTGGGTGTGGTGTATGAATGTTAACACTTTGTAATAATTCTTTAGTATATTACTTGTGTGGTGTAGAAGATAATTTTAAGAATGTAATTATGTAAGAATGTTAACACTCTGTTATAATTTGTTTTAGTATTTTACTTGTGTGGTGAGGAACAGAATTATCTATGTAGAGATACTGCTTGCAAACCAATGATAAGGTGATGTCATGGGGTAGGACTGGATAAGTCTGACTTCTTCCTACTCCATTCAAGCATGTTCTAGGTATAAGCAAATTGATATTGGATTAGCATTTGTTGGATATGTGTAAAATTATGTGTGTTGACATATCAACTGTCTTTACATGCTTGAAAGAATAAATCAAATCAAATCAAATTCTGTTTTGGTTTTGGAGGTTATAGCTGGCATAGTTCATCTATGCAAAATATCATTGTGTAAAAAAAAAAGTAAACATTGTGTTTATATAACACATGCTGTGCTTCCCACAAGATGTGTGAATACTGTTGTCAGCACTTTCTTAGTTGCATACCTTCCCTCTTCATGTGTTTTGAATTAATTCTTATTGATTTTTTTTCTCTTTTACCGTTCTTCCTCCCACCCTTCATCCCGACTTCCTTCAGTCATGCCACGGTTCACAGAGCAAGTGGAGTCTGCAGTGGAAGCCTTGAGTGCAAACTCCTCACAACCTGTCGATGAAAATGAGTTCATCGATGCTTCCCGTTTGGTATATGATGGCATTCGCGACATTCGCAAGGCTGTCCTCATGATCAGAGTAAGTCAGACAGTTTTTACTACCTCTACAACTATAAGACACTGTTTTAAGATGAATTTTGGTGTCCCCTGTTTTTTTTTTTTTTTTTTTTTTAATGCTAACATATTCTCTTGCCCATTATGTAAAAAGTCTACATAGTGGGAGTTGTTTTTCATTGTGTTTTCCATTTTCAGGGCATAAACAAAGTTCATATGTTGGGAGTAATATGCCCCCCCCCCAAATCAGGATGTTTTGACATGTAGAGAAAGGTGTTTCTTTCATCATATTTAAGATGCTGTAATTCCCTGAAACCTACACAAACCCTATGTAAGGGTTAAAATGTATTAACCATGGGCAACACTAATTTGATGAACTTGAACATTCATGTAATCTACAACATTGTGAGAATCCTTTGTGTGTGTGTGTGTGTGTGTGTTTTTTACTGGGTGCATGTCATTTGTTGTCTTCAGGTGAATCTGAAGTCTGGTATGAACATCCTGTACTGGAGAACCACTGGCATCCTGGTGGGAGGGAAGATGGTCAAACCTGTGAATCTGACACTTTTCAGGACTGTCCTCCAGTCCTCAGAAGTAATGCTGGCCCACTTGAAGTTAGTATGCTCCTGATTTTTGGTCACAAATATATAAAGATAAGGCTTCGCACAGAGCCATATAGCTAGCCATTGGTCTTGTTTTAATGGTATTTGAGAAGCTGCATATGTGTGCTTTCCAAGAAGCCAGTGATTAAGTTGTTTCAAGCAAGAGTCGACCTAATTGACCAGACTTGCAATCTAGTGTAACAACAGCCTTAGTTGTCTGTGGGTTAATGGGCTTTGCTTGAGTTGAACTATAACTGAGACAGATGGTAGTGGTACCAGTACCACTGAACCATTACCTAATTGACTGACAATGAGCTGACAAAAACCCATTCCAGCTGCAAAGAAAAACCGATAGTTCTTAAGGCTTTATAGTGTAACTAGCTTAATTATGTGAAACTGCCAAATTTGAGTTCTTGTATATTAAGAGGTAAGTTGTTTATAATGCTTCTCATGTGTAACAGTAGCTAATTCTCTATTTGCTATGTTGAGTTACATTGTGCTGCTTGGTTGTATTATGCCATTTTCTATTATTTTCAGCACTCACCTTTTTTTTGAATGGCAATCATTAGTGTTGACAGCACATTTTGTATTGACAGCGGTGCTCCAAAATGGCACCTGGGCTCTTATTACTAATGCTTCTCAGACATGCACAAAAAAACAAATGAGAGAGGGGCTGTTATGCTGTATTTGCATTTCAATAAGCAATTGATTTAAGATGAAACTTTTAATTAGCACTTTTTATTTGGATTGCAAGCCACAGAACTACATTCCGTTTCCCATCTGCCCCAGCTCCACTCTTGTTATCTGTATTGATTAAGCTGTTAACACTGGGCCTGTGGGGCAGGTGGAACACTACTTCATAGATGTGTGTGTGCAGGTGTGTTTAAAATAATGGAGGATTTATGAAAAACCTTGCTTGCTTATAATTAATCCATCAGACCCATTCTGCCATTAAATGAGAGCAGAAGAAAGTGATGAAATTCAGCTCTGACTTGATACATCATCTGAAAAGAAAAATGATCCTGTTCCCCTGCATTTGGCAAGATTTCGTGATAAGGTGTGAGAGGTAATAATCACAGGTTTTGTGGTGATTATTTGAGAAGAAATGGCTCTGATGCTTAGCTAAGTACTTAAGGAAATTCCAGCACAGCAGTTTCCTCAAGCTTATTCTTAATTGCTGTTGTTTGTAATGAAATTAGATACCATTCAAAAACATTAATTTCTATCTATAAGATCCCTTTTCTTCACCAAACTGTCCTTCAGTGCCATAGTTTACATGTGAAACTGGTCATGTTCAGCTCCAAGTCTAAAAAAAAATGTGAATTATTGCAAATCAGCTTGAGAGAACTATGAACCAGATTCTCTAAAGGGCATGCACACACACAAACACAACCACACCCTCTGTTTTTTCCATAAACCCTCACGCATATGTGACACAGTGGCCTACTCTTAAATCACAACAGACAAGTGTGTGGTTGGGGCTACTAAAGATAGACAAGTTTTTAACCTCTGTAAGCGGTGCACATGCAGCCTATGACATCCCCTTGGATATTTGACAGGCGGACAGAACCCTCTCACATTGGAGGCATCAGAGAATATGCCTCCCAGTCATCAAACTGTCTCAGAGTCAGGGCACTGCTGACAGTGAGATACAGGGGGCAGCTGTCTTTACCTTATGATTTGTGCAGTGTGTTGTGGCCCAAGGTGATTTTGCCAACTCTGCCCTAAAGAAATAGCTGCTCTACTCACAGAAGCTATGAGCAGAATGTCACAAAAAGGACAATCATGGGGGATTTCACTGTTGAACTGTCCAGTCCTTATTTACGGCAGCTGACAAAACTAGTGGAAAGGCTGACTTTCTAAGTTTGCCACGATACTGTAGTTTTTCCTCTATTCCTGTCTTCTCTTAGGCATTGCACTTCAAATACCGTTTGGTTATATGTGCCCCAGGGGTGATGACATGTAACGTGGAGTATTTTAGCCTCCTAAAACAGTGGATATGCTGGAATCTACAAAGTTAAATATGAAAATATTTATTTTGCCAAAGCATAAGAAACCTTTACTATGACTACAGTACTACCTTGATAAAACACTTCTTTATTACACTGAAGGCTCTTCTCTGCAGTAGTTTCCCATTGGGTGCCCGCCATAAGCTGTTGTTTCTGAACCTCCTACATTCACCGGTTATCAGTTCAGCCCCATTTAACAGTATTGTGTAAGATGCCTATGAGTCACTATAGCTTTGTATCTGAAACTACACCCCTGTTCCCTTGAGAACAAGAGAATCTCTACATTCCACAAAGCAGTGTAAAGTTGTTCAGAGACCTTCAGCTATTTTTAGATGTGAGGGCTCCAAATCCATTATAGAATGGAGGTATTGAGACAGCTGGATAAGCTCAAGTGACATTGGCATGATAGTGCACTTTTATCTGTTCACATCATCTTCCCTGTGCCCATTTCACTACCATATACATTTGCCACTCATTATTTTATTGTACTGTCAGCATGACTTGTTAAGATTGCTTATGGTTTGTTTTGAATTCAAAGCAAAGCAAATGGTAGAGGTGAAGGATCATAGATGACGTAGCAACACTCTAGAAAAACAGTTCATGCCTCACCTACCTTCCCAAAGATAGCAGCAATGGATGGGTCTTTGAAGCGGTTTCCTCTGTTCCATAAAATCTCATTCCCTCTCAAAATGCACAGGCAGCACATTACAGTTGATTTACAAATACATTTAGTGACTACAGTGTCTTTGTAGCTAGCTATGGGGAATAAGACATTTATCTGACATTACTCTGGCTGGCAGAACCAAGGCATTTCTCATTGATAGTAAGACATTTGGTTATTTAATAGTGCTCAAAAGGCTGTAGTAGGGCAGTGTTATTTTGTTGTCAGCTCACAACAATTATTTTTCTTGTCCCATTCTCCTTTTTTTATGCTTTTCCTTGTTGCTTCTGCCTACCCTGTACATTTGCCTCGATCTGTTCCAACTCATTTGATCTTCCTTTGCCCCTTTCTCCTTTTCTTTTGTCCCATTACAGACTCCAGAGGAGTTGGATGACTCTGACTTTGAGACTGAGGACTTTGATGTTCGCAGCAGGACCAGCGTACAGACCGAGGATGACCAGCTTATTGCTGGCCAGAGTGCACGAGTAAGTTGTACATTGCTTCTGGTAATATTTACAGACATTCCTGAGTCTGATTTCCTGCCGCTAAAATCTTTAAATGCCATATGTAAATTCATTTGACATATTTGTCAATGCAGTAGATGAAAAGTGTAATCACTTGCCTGATAATTTTAAAATACCGCATACACATTTTGATATTTACAAGGCTGGAGTATCATTTGTCATTTTTTTACTTGTTGCAATAGAGATTTATTTATGGTCCTTTTAAACAGTATGCTCGTTGTTGTCCCAGCCACTATGGTTATTTCAAAACATCCTGCCATCATATTACTCTTGACTGGTTATGCCTATCTTCTGTGGAATCTACAGAGATAATGTGACTCAAGCATTTGTAGTTTATCTTTATTGTGTTTCACTGTACTGAAAATCTTGCTACCTGCAGTTTAAAGACATGCACATCAAGTGAGTTTGAGTTTAAAGAATACTTTAGGCAGACAAATACTTAAGCCTCTAGCCCTATAACAGGCTGGTGATCTTTCCATGATGTCGTCTTTCCTTCTGTCTGTCATGTTGTGACAGGCTTCAGGCCGTATGACTCTGAATAGCCATAGGAGGCTAAATGCTCTGAGTTAGTCTTTTGCATATTGCAGTCTTTTAGAATTATGTCAATTATCCATGCCATCTGTTTCTCCAAAATCATGCCCTAGTCTGAACTAGTGAATTTATGTCAGAGGTTGATATGTTGAATGTTCAGGTCAGACTTTTCAAGCACTCAGTAGGCCCCCTGAAAAGACTCAACATCTGCCGTCATTTGACCTTTTCAGAGAAGATGTTAAAGTGTGAATCCAAGCTCTTGTGTTCTTGGATTGCTTCTTTGTCTGTCCCTTTGTCTTGAGTGGTTATATAATATGATACAGTAGGCACCTGTCCAACACTGTCAGTTGTATCTGTGGTTTTAGTTCATTTTAGGCTCGTACTTGACTGAAACTTGAGACTAACCACCTTAATGACTTGAAGAATACAGATTAATAAGATAATCTCAAAAGTCTTTAATGGTGGAGTGATCTATAAGTATGTTTCCATGTTTTTGTTCATTGAGGATTACCAGACTGTTGTTTTGTTAGGGGCTTTTCATCTTTGAACTTCCTTGAATGGCTTTACGGAAGCCTAGGTGACTCTAGAGGGAGCGTTCTATTTACCAGTAATGGAATGAACGCTCTTGCAATGATATTCGATTAGCTGCTCTTAAGTATCTGCCCACTTTGGCCTCATTCCATTAATTCATTGAATGTCTGATTGCCTATTTGGAATCTGCCCTTTAACCACCCAACCTAAGAGGATGGATAGAAATGGTGCTAAATGCATTAGCACATGATATTAAGTACTGGTAAAGAAATGCTCTTATATTGATCTTCTTATATTGATCTTGGTCTGAAGCACCAATTACAATAGACATATATTTTTCCTGGAGATGTTATACATTACTTAATAGTGTTGAACCCAGTTAAAAAAAAATGTATTTCCACTTAACTTGAGCCAGTCAGAGATATTCTGATCCTGGAGTATTGACATTTTTTTTTATGGAGTAGACATTGCAGTCCACGTAGGCATTTTCAGCCTGAACATATAAGACTGCCTACTTTCCATTTCTCCGCAATCGTTCCAAAACAGGTGACTGTCCTAATAAATACACATTCACTGGTTACTTACTAGGTACACCTGTAAAATCTAACGTGTTCCAGTACAGCAGCTCAGGCTAGGTTCTGTCCCTACATAGAACATTTTATTATGTTTATTGTTGTGCTTTAGTGTGCAGTGGTTTTTGACTACATTATATTGAGAGGTGTTTCTAATGTTCTGGACACCCCGTTTACAAATATGGAGGGGAGAATATCAAACACATTTGAATATAATGAGGTCCCATACAACATGACCACTGTAATCCTTGTAATAAACATATGGTTAAACTGCCCCCTCTCAAAATGTTTTAACAAAAACTGAACATTTTAAGAGGCACAGTAGACTGCATTAGACTTTATAGATGTACCAAATATAAGCACAATTATTTAAGCATATGTCAAATTTATGAAGTTATACTAGGAGCACAGAATTGGAGTATGCCTATAGTACCACAGTTGTTCGTGCCCTTGCAGGGTAGGAAGACACTTGTGTATCCTTTGAAACCACAAGGAATGGTGTAAAATGAAATTCTCTGTAGACACAAAAATGGCCTCAGTAAGAGTATGTTGGGGTTTAGTGTGCTTAACCCTCTATGCTTTCCATCATTCCTCCTTTAGGCTATCATGGCCCAGTTGCCCCAGGAGCAGAAGGCGAAGATTGCAGAACAGGTGGCTAGCTTCCAGGAAGAGAAGAGCAAGCTGGATGCTGAGGTGTCCAAGTGGGATGACAGTGGCAATGACATCATTGTGTTGGCTAAGCAGATGTGCATGATCATGATGGAGATGACAGACTTTACCAGGTGAGTTTGAACTGACAGCTTGGCTCACCATCTGAACCAGTTTTCTTCCCTAGCAAGTGATGGCCAATTTCATAATTGTAGATATTTTTCTGGCATCTGACTGCGCATCTGAATAAATGGTTTGTAATATGCAAACACATTTTAAATAATTCCTTTGACTGAGGATATCCGTCAGCCAGACTTTGTAAACTTAATGTGTCATTGAGTGTTCATAATACTTTCTTCCTTCATAGGGCCTATATGCATAGGTCGTCCCAACTTCTCATCACAGTAACATGCTAATAATTATTGAATTCACAAGGAAAATGCCACCAATACAGATTGCAAGTTTAAGTCAAGCCTGTGTGAAATACTGTCACCCAGCAGGCCTGTTTAATATTATTACTCATGGATCAATGCTCTTCATTTTTCTTAAACAGCACTGTAGGTAGGATTTTCTTCTTGCTCATTTCTCTGCCCTTTCCGAATCTTAATATGCACAACCTTTAGCAGCGTGTTGAATCCCCCAGTGGACATGATATTGATAAACCAGAGTTTTGGGAGCTTCAGAAAAATTACAGTAATGATGGAGTCCAGAAACCTTCTGTATGTGAATGTGACAGAAGCTACTGTAAACTTATCAGCAAATCATATGAGAATCCCTGCCATATTCTGTGTAGATGATGGCGTACTCGCACATGTGCACATGATATTGGAATTTGGCTGGGTCTGGTAATGTTGGCACTTTTCTGATTTGGGTTGAACAGCATTTCTACCTCTGTGTGGTCGTCTAGCTCAGTGGTCCCCAACCTTTTTATCACTACGGACCGGTCAACTCTTGACAATTTTACCGCGGCCCGGGGGGGGGGTACGTAGATTGTTTATATTGTAAATATAATAATAAATGTGAATTCACTGTGTACTTGTATGCAACTTTATTAGCAGCTTCCTCGTAACATTGCGCCAACAACATAACATGAGTATAACATCAAAGTCTCAGTTTTCAGTGCTGTGGTGGCGATCTCAGGGTATTCTGTCATGACTTTAATCCAGAACACCGACAGAGTTGTTGTCTCGAACATACTTTTAAGGCCGCCGTCATTTGCGATCTCCAGCAGTTGATCTTCTTGTTGCACAGACCTGCTGGATTCACCTGGTTTGTTGACAAATGGGTTGCGGATCCATTCCTTGGCAGTTCGTGGGTCCTTTGTGGTTGGGAAGTAGCGCTCGAGCTCTTTTAAAAGCAAAGACAGGTGATCGTGCACCAGCTGGGAGAGTGAAGGCTCAGGCTCAGTCTCACCCAAAATCCCCGCTAATGTTTGAAACATGTCCAAAATGCCTCTGTTGACGCGCCGTCCCCACAAATCCAGTTTGGCTTTAAATGCAGCTACTTTATCTGTCAACTTGAAGACAGTTGTCATTTTCCCCTGAAGTGACAGATTGAGTTCATTGAGCAGGCTGAATATGTCGCACAAGTAAGCCAGTTTTGGCGCTCAAGTGACCGAGATGTAACCGAGAGAATGCGGTCATTTTTCAAAATAAAAGATTGTTCAGACTCAGATAATAAATAAAACGGAAATAATTAATGATTTCTTGTGCGGCCTGGTACCAATTGATCCACGGACCGGTACCGGTCCGCGGCCCGGGGGTTGGGGACCACTGGTCTAGCTCACATGGTCTGAACATATTTGTGTGTTGGTATGTGTGGAGGATGTGCGGGGACATGTTAAATGGTTGACTGTTTGTATGACTGTCTTTGAATGTTCAAGAGAATTACTCAGAGGACATTTTGTACCTAACTGAGTCATATCCTTAATGACAATGAAATGCTTCCTCTATTTTTGTCTAGGGGATGGATCAAGGATCCTGTCTCCTTGGCCAAATAAGCACAATACTGCAAAGCTGTAGACCCATTTAACATACTAATACAGCCAGGATTTGACAGACTTTACACAGGATCCTGCATTTCTTCTTCTTATTCAGGGGGAAAAAAACTTTTTTGCCTTTGGTATTACATCCACCGTAGACACGGATGTAAATGAAAATCACGATGCTGCTATTATCTCAAGAGTGTCATCCATGTTTTTTATTAGAATGGTGTCAGCTGTGTGTATGTGTGTCTCTGTGTACACTTTACCATTCAAAAGTTAGTCACTCAACAGTCAAACACACTTGTGGCATTTTTTCTGCTGTTGAAATTAAACATTGTTCAGATAGCTAGCACTGTTAAAGAAGACCCCGCAAATGTGTTGGACACTGTCCATGGATTGGATTCCACTCCATGTGTGCGCATATATATATATAATATGTGTTTCTGAGGGACCAAGTTAATATCTGTCAAGCTGAATATTTGTCTTTGTTTTATGCCTCCATTCTCACGTGTGGCAGTAGCACAAGGAAGGTCAGTAGCTGGCTAATTTAGCCCATGCCCAAATTATTGCTCCCTTAACCTTGAGTTGGCACAAAGCCCTGCCAGGACTGATGCTGAGTGGACCTCTCTCCTGACAAATCTGCAGTGAGTGAGAGAGATTCTTGTTGACTCCTGCATTGCTCATGGCTACATGGTGGCTCTCACAAATAAATTGTTTAGTTTGGAAACATACGACATATTTGGGAGCCACCTGTCTTAGAGCATTCTGTGCTGTGGAGGACTCGGCCCAAAGTGGGTTACACCCATCCGAAAGCCTGCACCTGTAAGTCCAGAGCCCCTTCTCTGTGTACTGTATAATTCCACTATGAACATTTTAAAAGTGTCCTCATGTCCAAAGTTCCTCTCTTGTCTATCTTCACAGCCTCTGTGTTTGTGCTTTGTGCATTATTTGGCCAAGGAAATAGTAGCTGGCCTTTATTTTTTGGGACAAAAGCAAGAGATATTTTTATGAAGGAGATCAGTGGCTAAGGAGAAGTTGGTTGTTGATGTTTTTATGCATTGTGAAGTGTTTTTTATGTGGGGCAATCTAAAGCATTATACTAGCAATGCTGTTAAAATCACTTCATGCAGGCTTTTTTCCTGAACCATCACAATGCCTCCTGCTCTGTCTCCAGGGGCTGACTTGTCCCCAGAGAGCTTCCAGCACTGCTCTGATGTGTGGCCTCTTCCACTAGGACCCTGACTTGCTTTACAGCAGAGCAGCGGAGGGAGAGCAAGAGAGGGGAAAAGCTGGAGATGGGAGGGGAGGGAAGAGGAAGCGAGAGAACAGAACACAAAATTCCATCTGTTCTGGGTTGGATGGCTCATTTTTTAGCCTAGAGTGAGCAGCTTTGAATCCAATTTGTGCCTCTTGCCAACTGTGTCCCAGAGTCCCTTGTGGGGGCAGAAAAAATGGCAAATGGCTGCTTTACAGTGGGTCAGGTCAGGGCTGTACTGACCCATGTAAGGGCTGGCTTCGTTTGGCTCACAAAGGGTCAAGGATAGATGTATTATACTAGGATAGGGACTTTGAATTGAACTGTACTCTCTCCTCTCCACCTTAATTCCTGTCATTCTCTTGGCTTTTCTTAATCCCATACCTTGATGAGAATCACCATGCAAATGAAGAGCTGCTGTATCAATTGAAATTGTATTTTCAATACACATCACAAATTTGCCTGAAAGGGGCTTTACAATCTGTACAACATGCTCTGTTTTTAGTGCTTTTGAGGGCAACTAAGATTTCTTCAACAAACATGATACCAGTACAGTTTGCTTCTCAGCCTTTTTATAAAGTCTTCAAAGCTGCTTCAATAAAAGATGCCAAAGAACTGAGAATTTCTGTTGGGACAGAAAGCAAGTGACTAGCAACCAATGTAATGTGATGTGCTTATTATCATGATATTTTGTCTGTTATATGCTAAAATTTCAGGATGAAAAAAGAACACCCTTTTTTGTAAGAGGGTGTTAAATTCTAAACATCCCATTCTGGTCTCAGCTGTGAGAGTGAAGGCTGGCTTCTCTGCATTTAATGGGTTATAAAATATCCTCAGCTCTGACTGATCAATGGTGCTGCATTGTGTTAGTATTTTGTGTGTGGAATCATTTTTGCACCAGCGTACACATGAAATTCCCTGAACTACTCCTATAAGTCATGCTTCTCTATCCATACTTGCCTCCGACCACAAAACAACCTTGCCAAACAAACAGCCGCTCCATGACTGAGATGCTACTCCTGCATATTGAATGAGGCTGCAGTAGATCAGAAGCATTGACTGATCTTTCCACTTTTTCTCCCCAGGGGGAAAGGGCCGCTGAAGAATACGTCTGATGTCATCAGCGCTGCCAAGAAAATTGCAGAGGCAGGATCAAGAATGGACAAGTTGGGTCGCACCATCGCTGACAGTGTAAGTCGTTACTGAACCTCCATTCCCAAGGGGCCATTGTAGACTATACCTTTGTGCTAGCAATTCCAATTTATAACTGCGGTCATAACATTCCATATGAAAACTGTCAACACCTGAAAATTAACAGCAATTGCAGTAGTACAAAGGACAAACAAAGAAAAGTACAAATTTTTTCAAGCAGAAACATTTTAGCACAGTTATTACAACATAACTCAAATGTCATGGCTACTGCACAGGGGGATGAAATGAAAGTTGCTAAATGAGACACTTCAAATTAAGTAATTTCCTTTGTAAATCTGCTCCAGTATCATCAATAGGGGTCCAATGGGGTAGGAAACTCAGTTTGGTTCAGATCACAGATTTGGAGTCACGGATCGGATCATTTTTCGGATCACAAAACATCAATAACAACAAAAAATGTCAAATTTCAGCAACATCTTAAAATATTCAATGATCAGTTGTTAAATTAACCTCACCAAGTAGTTTGTTCTTAAACTTGACCAAGTAGTTTCTGAGCCTAAACATAATGAAACAGCTGTTTCATAATTATAATGGTTTGACTGTTTCCATGATGATGAAAGTCTGTAAAGCTTGCCGGTGTGCCGTTTGTTGTCATTAATGTTGTCCTGAACACACAACTGCAAATTGAGATTTAGGGAATTATTACTTTAAAAAGTAACAGCGGTGTTAAAACCATATTTCATTCTATGATGGTGAAATTTAGCAGTTAATCTGCGTTTAACAGAAATACTCATGGCCTTGATTTCCTCTTCCTCACTCCAGTGGGTCACTTCCTGAATTGAACTTGTTTAAAAAGGTAAATGGACTGGGATTACATAGGTACGGTTGTGTTAACCTTACCTATGTATATCTATATGCACAGTAGCTTGCTTGTTCACTGGTCATAAGTTGGCAAAGTAAGTTATATTAAGGTGAGTGCATGCAAGCAGAAATTCCTAGAAAATTACTGGGAGAGATGACCATGCATTCTGCACTAGTCTCCAGTACTGATATTGTCACCAGTCATCAGTGATCTGAAGGTTAATAACTTTACACATCCATCCATCCATCCATCCATCCATTTTCTTCCGCTTATCCGGGACCGGGTTGCGGGGGCAGCAGTCTAAGCAAAGATGCCCAGACTTCTCTCTCTCCAGACACTTCCTCCAGCTCCTCCGGGGGAATGCAGAGGCGTTCCCAGGCCAGCCGAGAGACATAGTCCCTCCAGCGTGTCCTGGGCATTCCCCGGGGCCTCCTCCCGGTGGGACATGCCCGGAACACCTCCCTAGGAAGGCGCCCAGGAGGCATCCGAAACA